AACACCCTCATAAGGCAAATTTACAACAGTGGTTTTTCCTGTTAAAATCTCTTATGACTCTTGTCAAATTAATGTCCAATATTTAATTGATAGCATTATTGCAACGTAATTGACAAACAGGTTCTCCTGGCAACCCCCAATACAGCATTAGGGACTAGGGGTGCAACGGTTCAACTTACAGTTCAGTTTGTATCAAGGTTTTGGTATGGTTCGATATGTGCTATGTTTAGGAAAAAAATGATGCTGTCAAATAAAAATAAAGAAAATAAGAACAAAAAATCTAACTACAAGCAACATCACAAATAAACAACAGAGTAAAAATACAAATAAAATAAACAGTGCTTTCAGTTTTTTTTTAGGTAGGTCTAACAATAGTTCTGTCATGACAACTCTCGGAGGGATTGGCATGGTAATGTACATGACAATGTTAATGTATTTGGTCTTGGCGGAATAGATTTGCTGCTGCTGCTTCTGCAGCAGAGAAAGTACCGAGACTTCCTACTGCCAATAAATCCACAACATGCTGCTGTGAGTATGTAAGAAATATTGCTGCTGCAAATATAACATACATGAAATAAGCCCCATATAGCATACATGAATCACCTCATAGCAGATCTATACAGGTGGAGCTGGGGAAGGTGGAGGGTTTCTGAAGGAAGCTGCGACTGCTACGGCAAGCCCTAGTCATATATTTGAATGTTGAGCACCGAGCTCATTGGCTACCGATACAGGAGAGAACCAATCAGCTGTACCATGTGATGATGATGTAATTTGGTCAGATTGAGTTAGACCTATCGGACTGCGCCATCTAGAGTTTCATGCCAGAAGTATTTTTTTAGGTACAGAAATTGAATAAAGTAATCAAATGTAAAGAAACATTGCATATTTGACTGTATAAATTAAAGATTAATCTTTATTAAAGTTACAAAAGCAATTCAGTCAAGAGCAGTGAGTGATTTCCTTGTTGTTGCTGTTTGATTAATATTAAGAAAGTGCTGTCACTTTAAGATAATGCACTGATCCAGTGCACTGATACTGTACATTCAGCCGGCTATGTCTGTGAGGATACTTACCAAGACGGGCATTTTGACATAATTTTTTGTGTGAATTTGTCCATTCAAACACAATACTTAATATCTGTGCACGTTCTGAGACGCAGGTTTACGAGCTTCGGATGAGCACACACACAAATCTTCTCACTGCGTGTGCAAGCTTGCGTCTTCTGACTGTTGAATGTTCAAACTGGCAAGATTTAAATGAGTTTAGTTTAAACACAGATATCAAAGTGTGCCGTTTCTGAAAACGCCTGCCAGGGTGAAGATTTTCAAAAACTTTGTTTATAAAAATACCGTGTTCGTGTGGACATGGCCTTAGAAAGATAGCTAACCACCGGGACCTCATTCCTCACCCACTGATGGATCTCAACCCTACCTGAAAATATTTGTCAACGTAAAGGCAGCACGGACTGTTATATCTTATCACCTTGCTGGCAATGGGTGAAAACATGTTGCTGTATTGCAAATGTCACACAACATGGGCTGCATTTTTTGACAAATGAAAGGACTTGCCACTTGTACATATCAGGTGGGTTTCCGTACTTTAGGTCCCACAACAAGAACCTTAGAAAGAGTTTGTTATTGGGGAGCAGGCAGACCATGGTTTAACATTGCACATTTGTCTCATTTATGGTTTATTGAAGGCTACTATTAACCTAGTATATGTAATACTTAATATAATGTATACTGTATGTTATGTGCTACTCTAATATAAAGCACACAACAAAAGAATAGGATCCAAGAAGTCTTTTTAATAAATCCACAAGGAGAAAACACCAACAAAGAATCATACATACAAACAATACAGGACAATGAGCTGAGGGAAACTGAGGGTTTAAATACATGGGGAATGTAATCCAGGAGAAAAAAAAACATGGAAACTAATAATAGAACTGGCAGGCAAATGGGAAGGAAGAGCAGGAAGTTGATGGAATGAGATACCAGGGTGGTGATGGAGGAAAGAGCCAGGAAGGAGCCAGGAGCAGAGCCAAATGAAGCCTGCGGGATGGAGGGACAAGGCAAAGCCAGGGGAGTGTAATCTCATGGCGGAGGCAGGTCGACGACTGACCAAGGTGGAGCCAGAGAGATGAGGGAGCCCAGTGGAGTCAGTGGGATGATAGGCCACAAGTGGAGATGAAAGAGCAAGGAGCCAAGATGGACCCGATGAGTCGGAGGGCCGAGGTGGAGTCCGGGACTCAGAGGCTGGAGATGGAGACAGGGGATCCTCATGCCTAGACAATGCTGGTGACAGGATAGCCAGAAGTGGATCCACACAGTAGGGTGGAGCAGACTGAGGATGAGCCGAGGGACTGACAGGAGCCAGCGGAGGCGAGGCTGAGGAACGGATGGATTTTGGAAGAGGAGGTGGGAGAGGGAGGCTGGGTGAGAACTCAGGAGACACAGGAAATGCTGAGCTGGGCGGAACCAGCAGGACTGGAGAAATTTTCCTCTTCCAAATATTTAAATATGAATTCAGAGGCCAGCAGTAGCTCACCCTGATGTGAATGTGGCCGAGGCTTTTTCTTCATGCCCTCATACTCCAATAGTATTCCAAATGCAACTGCTGATGTTGCTGGCTCGCACACCTGGTCGGATATTTTTGTGAGACTCTGGCTCTGGGGTGATAATGGACTCAGTTGCTTCCTCTTGCACTGCCTCTTTTGTTGCGGCGGGCTCGGACTCTCCGCCTGTGGGCAACTCAGGCAAATGCTCTGTGCAGTGGGGTGATGGCTGACTGGACTCTGGATCTGGAGTGAGGCTGTTGATGTCCTCCGCTGGGCAGATGGTGAATGCTGATCCACAACTCACCAGCACCCACTCCACAAATGCGGCAGCTTAGCCTTGGACGAAAAACATTAAATAATTTCACTGATTGCATACTGAATCAGTGTTAGTGTGCAAGCTATTGTGTTTATTACAATTCTATATTTTCAGCAAAGCACACCTGTGAGGAGTTCTATACTGGTGTGACCATTGACAGACACACAGTTTCAGTAATTATGTTCAAATGTATTTAGAGGTAATTTTACTATTACTGTCACAGACTAATACAATCATGATTTTCACATAAAAATAGCACAAACAATGTGAAAATATTGGCATAATTGTTGAGAAAAGCAGCCATAAATTCAGCCATTTTAGGCATAAAAGTCCTGGACAAGACATAGACAACCAAGGTATCTTACTAACACTTCAGGTCAAGTCGAGCCAAGTCACCTTTATTTCTATAGTGCTTTATACAGTATAGATCGTCAAATTTCGATCGATTTAAATTGATAAACAAGAAAGTAATGATTCTATGATGCAAAAATAATTCAGTTCTGCTTTAGATCAGCTCTAAAAAGACAACAGTGAAGTTATTATTCAGTTCAAATCAGTTTGTTGATTCAACTGAATATCCATAGCCATGAAGTGTCAGTAAGGACATGAAAAGGAAACTCCAATTAAATTGTTTTAGTGTCCATAAATGTCTCTCTTATTAAAATGCACACACACCATGAGCACACACTTGCTGAGAACACCAGAATGTTGGGAAGTCTGTATGGAAGTAATGATAAGCCTGTAGTTAATAGCGGTACCAGCAACAATGAGTGTCCAGCCAATGAGTGAATGAGAGTGCAAAGTATGTAAGGAATCCTAAATGACCATAAATGAGGAACAGGTTTGATCAGTATTTAGTTGAATCCGAGTGAATCATGGGCAGTGACATAATTAGAGAGAGGGATTCTAGTGTATCTGTGACAATTCCAAAGGAGTATGTGGAGAATATCTATAGAATATATATACCAGAAAAATGTTTAAGAGTAAGGGATTTTTCTCTTTGTTTTTATAAAGTAAGCTATTCTGTTACATGAAAGAAATTACACATTCATGGATTTTCCTGTAAAATACAGAATTTTGGGACCAATTTTATATTTGTTGTCTTTACTATGTACCTACATGAGAAAAAAAAAATCTTGCACCTATTTGATACAATACAGGCTAATTATTGCTGGCTAATTTATACAGTTAGGTCCATATATATTTGGACACTGACACAATTTTCATAATTTTGGCTCTGTATGCCACCAGAATAGAATTAAAAGTAAACAATCAAGGTGAAATTGAAGTGCATACTTTAAGCTTTAATTCGAGGGGTTGAACAAACATAATATGCTTAGGAATTACAACCATTTTATACACACTCCCCCTATTTTCAGGGGCTCAAATGTAATTGGACAAATAAATATAATCATAAATAAAATGTTCATTTTTAATATTGTGTTGAGAATCCTTTGCAGGCAATGACTGCCTTAAGTCTGGAGCTCATGGATATCAGCAGAGTCTGGGTTTCTTCTTTGTGATGCTTTGCAAGGCCTTTACTGCAGCTGACTTCAGTTGTTGTGTGTTTTTGGGTCGTTCTGCCTTTAGTTTTGAAAAAAAAGTGAGTGAAGTGATGTGTGGCCAAGTATAGTGACCCATACTCGGAATTTGTGCTCTGCATTTAACACATCCAAGTGCACACACCCAGTAGTGAACACACACACACACACACACACACACACACACCGTGAACACACACCCGGAGCAGTGGGCAGCCATATTGCTGCGGCGTCCGGGGAGCAATTGGGGGTTTGGTGCCTTGCTCAAGGGTCTCACCTCAGTCGTGGTATTATGTGTGGAAGAGAGCACTATACATTCACTCCCCCCACCTACAATTCCTGCCGGACCTGAGACTCGAACCCACGACCTTGTCTTTAAAAAGTGAAATGCTGATCGATCAGGTTTAGATCAGGAGATTGACTCCACTTATTATATTCCAATATTCCACTTTTTTTACCTTCAAAAACTTCTGGATTGCTTTTGCTGTATGTTTTGAGTCATGGTTCATTTGTTCTATGTGGTGCAGTCCAATCAACTTTGCTGCATTTGACTGAATCTGGGCAAAGAGTATATCTCTATACACTTCATAATTCTTCTGGCTGCTTCTGTCTTCTGTCTCATCATCACTAAACACCAGTGACCCAGAGCCACTGAAGCCATGCACGCTTATGCATCACACTGCTCCATGCTTCACAGATGATGTGTGTGCTTTGGATCATGAGCTGCTCCGGTTGATCTTAATTTCAGCCGTCCAAAGAATGCTTTTCCAGAAGTGCTCTGGTTTTTTAGATGTTTTTTTGGCAAAGTCTAATCTGGCCTTGCTTGCAGCTTGTGGTGAAGCCTCTGTATTTGCTCTGGTGAAGCCTTCTCTTGATTGTAGACTTTGACAGAGACTCGTCTGCCTCCTGGAGAGTGCTCTTCTCTGGGCTGGATGTTGTGAAAGGGTTTTTCTTTACCATAGAGAGGATCCTCAGATTATCCAGCACTGTTGTCTTGTGTGGATGTCCAGGCCTTTTTATGTTGCTGAGTTCACCAGTGCATTCTTTTTTTTTTCTCAGAATGTACCAAACTGTTGATTTGGCTACTCCTAATGTTTCTGCTATCTCTCTGATGGATCTGTTTTGTTTTTGAAGCCAAACAATTGTCTGACATCTTCCAAATGCAACACTTAGAATCAACTCTAGAACTTTTACCTGCTCACCTGATGTAGAAATAACGAAGGAATAGCCCACAACTGTCCATGAGCTTTTGGGTCAATTGTCTAATTACTTTTGGTCCCTTGAAAAGGGGGGAAGGTATATATTAAAGGGCTGTAATCCCTTAACCTTTCCTCCACTTTTGATGAGTATACCCTCAAATTAAAGTTCAGAGTGTGCACTTTAAAGCTCATATGCATTATATAACTGTAACATAAATATGTTTTGGTCAACAGCTAAAATAACAAAAAAAATTCCCTGTGTCCAAATATACTGTATATGGACCTAACTGAGTTGTTACATTGTGCTTACATTTAAAGTACCTTCATATAATTTCATACTACACTATTGATGGTACCTCAATTATAAACCTGCCCATATTCCAACTTCAATAGCAGCAAATGAAAATCTGGCAAGAGTCATACACAACAACACACATACACAATAAGTGCATTGCATCATAATTTAAAATGTATGTACATAATAGTTAAATATGCCTATATATAGTTAAGTGACACCATAAATTATACAATAAATGTAAATTAATATTTTTAAAGTTTTATTGAGAAAATAAATTTACATGAATAATTTAATTTATTCAAACACTACCACAATATAGACAAGAGAACATTCTATACAATATTCATCTGATTTTGTTTAGTATTACATATTAAGCCATGACCACCATTTTAAATATGACACTGATGCATCTTTGCCACATTTTTAAAGTTGTGTAATGACTGATCTGAAGAACAACACATTGATCAAGTCCCCTTGATTTTACACACAACTTTTAAGTGGTTAATGCAACAGTCCTAAGACCACTTATTTAGTGGGGTAAGATGATCTCCCATCTTTTTCTCTTGACAATAGATGCCACTATTTTCTCTTGACCATAGATTATCAGCTTGTGTAAATCCTAGTTATGCAAAAGACAGAGAAACAAGTACAAACATAATTAGCGTAGCTGCTGTTCCAACCAAGCAAAAATGATTTGTTTAACCCAAACTAACGAATAATAATGTGCATTTGATTAGATATAACTGCAGTAAAAGATTATGACTGCAGTAAAAGATTATGAGATGCATTATTTGAATGCTTGGCCAAAGAGATGTGTCTTTAATCTAGATTTAAACAGAGAAAGTTTGGTGATGTATGGCTATTATATTTTCCATTTAGTAATTTTATGTGAATATTAAAGGCCTGGAGGGCCACAGTGGAGCAGACAGCTTATAGGAACAATGAGGAAATGGGAACTCGAAAGATAGCGGTGGAGCCAGAGTGACTAAGGAGAATGATTTTTAGATCTCATGCATCATGGCAGGCTGGGGCTTTCTGTCTGCGCTAGGCTCAGGCATTCGCTCTGTGAATGGAGCAGTGAATGGAGATCCATTGTTCACCAGCACCCACTCCACAAATGTGGCGAAACTCCCCTGAGGACCATCTCTGGGCAGGCGTGCCTTAGATCAGGTCCTTTAGGTTTGTACTTTTTGCTCCAAACAGAGCAGAACTACTTGTATACCTATTTTTTTAAGGCTGGTTATTCTGTCACGGGCTCTGTGGTTATACACAAGGATTAACTCATTCTGAAGAGAAACTGAGCATTAACATAAAGACAATAACCGGCAGGGAAAAAAATAAATAAAAAGAGAGTGTATATACAAGGAGGACTTATCGAGAAGCATCTGCAAATTAAATGTAACCAAAAGAACAAACCAAGGCATGCTCCAAAACGAAATGGAGCAGAGACACAACAACTCATATACAGTATATATATATATTTTTTTTTCTATTCTATTCTATTTTTTTACAGTGGCTGATCCATCATTTTTCTGCACATGCTAAACTTATATATAAATATGTTACAGTTTAAAAGTAAATCCACATTGTTCTTAAGGGGGGCATTTCCCCCATCTTCCCCTATATACACAATGTCTGTAGTCTTTGTTATGACAAACTTTGATATTGTTCCTCGTTGTTTATATGAATTATTTGATCAGTTTATCTCTGTCTATTTATGTTTGTGTAAACACAGGTTCATCAGTATTACAGATTTTTCCCAGAGGATAAGGTTCCTTATGTCAACAGCATTGGTGAAAAGCATCGGATCAAGCAACTCCTTCAACAACTGCCACCGCATGACAATGAGGTCTGTTAGTACAGTCATGGCTCAAAGTTTTTAATACAAAAATGGATAACTACAGCAGATATCTAAACACTACAGCTGGTTCAGTCCTAGACACATAGTTATGTGTTTTGATATCATCTTGAGTTCAACTTGTCTCTACGTATTTTAACACTAGACCAGAGGTCTTCAGCCCTGCTCCTGGAGACCCACTGTCCTGCAGAATTTAGCACCAGCCTTTACCCTTGTGCGGTCTTCGGTCACTTCTGACTGGAGAATTTTACATTTTGAATTTGTAAAAATCGTAGCTTCACCAGAATGGTACAAAACTTGGTGACTTTTATGGCACTTGGTATGTAAACACACAAAGAAATTGAGAGCATGATTCGAAAAAGCTAAGTGGTCGTAAAAAATTGTTACACTCATTGTCTTCGGTCAAAAATGACCGACCATAGGAAATGAATGGGAAATGGGAAAAATTTACAGCGAAAATACAGAAGATTTTGGTGTGTACAATCTACAAATCCCCCACAATGCAGAAAAAAATTGCACGGCAATGAAGGGGTGAAACTCTAAAACATCTAGAGTGCAAAACCAACACACATGCGGACACACACTTGTACACACATACACACACACCCAGTGCCGGCCCATTCAACAGGCGGTCGCCTGGGCCCCCTCCTTAAGGGGAGGGCCCCGCAGCTGCAAGGTTGTCAATTCAATTTCAAGATGTAAAGTCTTGACCAGGGGCGCATAAGGTACTCATGAGCGAGACTATGGGTGCTCCAGAGAGGGAACAAAATGTCAAAAACAAAAAGTGGATCCCATTGCAAGAAAAAAAATAATCCACGTCCAGGCACTCACATAGCAGGCAAAATATAAAAAAGCACACCACTGCCTGCTATGTGAGTGCCTGGACGTGGATTATTTTTTTTCTTGCAATGGGATCCACTTTTTGTTTTTAAATTTCAAGATGTGTTTGACTTGAAGCAGCACGGTGCAGACAGATCGGTGTTTGACATCGAAGAACAGTGAGAGCTATACACTAATGGACAGCTCTCCATGCTTTCCTATCCTGTTGCAGTACTTTGATGTCAAACACTTATCAATCTGCAGCGCCCCTTTAAGTCAACACACATACAGATGACGCACCTGGTGTACTGTGCGTTTAAAAACATTTAATGACGTTTTTGCTCTAAATTCATTTCATAACATCAGTCAAGTGTTTGAAATAACATCCTTTTGTGATCTGACGTGGTTTCATATCACAGAATGAGGCAAAATCATTTTATAATATTCTATACAGTGATAAAGGCTATGTCGATTAGCATTGCATTATAAATATACATTATGCAAATAAAAAATACCCGTGATGGCTTGAAGAACAGAGATACACCATTTAGTCACAATCGTGTGTTTATTGTCTTCATTCTTCCTCAGTTAAAACGTCCTATCTGCATTTTATTCAGCTACTGCAGCAATAGCATATGCCTTTGTCCATATTAGGGATTTCCTCCAACTTGATTTTTGTGAGTATTTCATTTTATGATTTTTTCATTTATGGCTTTACTGCACTTATGTGCCCTCGGCTACCAGTATGAATGAAGCAGCTGCAGCTACTCACTACATCTTATTTTGGGTAAAAATAGGAAACATACGTTTTTTGTAAACTATATTAATAATAATCATCATCGATAATTATTACTTTGTTTAAATAAATTTAATGATTTATTTAGTTATAACTATAATACAATTATTAGTAGTCATATTGATATATAATCATATATTCATATTCATATGAATTCATATATTCATATGAAAATCATATTTTTGGCCAAATTGTGCAGATCTACAAACAGGCACAGCAAACTTAGTGTTCTTTATCATTTCTGGCAAATAAAGAAAAAGCTTTTCTGAAAACTTTTCTAATTACAGTTCAGATTTTGTGTGCAGATTTTGTTGGTTCAGATTTTGGAATTGAAATGAAAGAATGATAGAGAGATTAAAGTGAAATTGTAGTAGAAATGGAATCCAAACGGTATCTTTATGGAGCCGGGGGAAAAAGGATGTTCTGACTGCTATACATAATATGTATTGCTTTAGTATTAGTATTTGTTTTATAAATGCAATGATGCCCATGATCACAGACAGACTTGACATATGTTTAAATTGCTATGACCATTTTTATACTAGTGGGGCCTATTTTCGTTATCTTGCCTAGGGTCCCACAACCCTACGGGCCGGCACTGCCCACATCTATGAACTGGTGTGACTGTAACACTGCAACTATGTAAAATAAAATCAATAATTCAACTACAATGCAGTAAAAAAGTGGACAGAAACGAAGGGGTTACACTCTAAAACATAGAGTGTAAAACAGATACATCCATTCACACACACTTACTTACACACACACACATACAGAATTACACATACTCAAATGAATTGGTATGGCTGTAACCATATAGCCATAATGAGTCAGAAGTAGGGGTGTAAAGATTCAGTCGTTTTCTCGATGCATCGATTACAAACCATGACGATGCATATGCATCGGTCTTGAAACATGGATTTTTGAATCGCCGATTTTGGACAGTAATCGATTTAAAATGCTAAGAATCAAATGAATCGCGATTTCTATAGCGATTCAATGCTTTCAAAATATATACACATTAAATTACTACAAGCACGAATTAATGGAGACCTTGAACAGTGTTTGTGCCCTCACATCTCTCCTTCACGCGCTCCACTATTTACCACCTGCAGTGACTGTCACAGGATTGCGCTCGCACTCCGTTCGTCTCGCAGCTGATGTGTGATCTCTCCACACTTGTGGCCAGTAATGCTAAAGTGAAGTAGTTTTACTTTTCTGTAGTTTTTCAGTGGCTCTCGGTCATGCCGACGACATTACCTGAGCAGTCGAAGGCTACACATTTATTTGCATGGACGGAGCATAAATGTAAGTGTCTAAAGCATACGCACAGTTCCATTGAATGATAAATGTGTTTTAACAATGTCGTTGAACCGAATGAACGAAGAAAACTGTTAAAATAACCACATCATTAACAGCAACCTTGAAATAAGAGTGCAAGGTTTATCTGATAATCAGATGCATATAGCGTTTTTTGCTATAGCAAACAGACATCGGGTGCGTGTTCTTTCAAAATCATAATTCACCGATGGAGTGGAAAAGATAAATACTATAGCATTTTATTTTATGAAAATTAGATAAAGAAGTTTTCGCACTGAAAGAGAAGTGATCTCGCGCTCATAGAACTTTAGACGTGCTAGGCTATATCTGCAGCTAAGCTGTATAAAAAGCAGAATGATCTGATGAAACGTTAAGAGAATAAACACAATAAATAAATAACATTTATAAATGATGCAGTGCTAACTGACATATCATTTATTACAGTACAGAAACTATAAAGTATATTTTCTACCTTATTCTGTGCAGAAAATTGATTGTTTGTAGTATATAAAACCATCATAAAATTGCCATTAGGAAAAAAATATAGCCATAGCATCATTAAACTAGTATCTAACAATGGACAAAAGTGTTTTCTCTCTCTCTCTAACCTATGGTTGAATCTTCTAAATTTGCAAAAATCGTTCTTGAATCGAATCAAAAACCTATGAATCGTGAATCGTGAATCGAATCGATTCGTGTCTACGCAAAGATTCACAGCCCTAGTAAGAAGACTGAAATAAGAGGTTAAAATCAGATCAGACCAAGAAGGATTAAGCTCTGGTAAAGCATTCCTGTTAATTTTTGTTACATTTTTATAGAATTTTAATGTTTTGTGTAACAAAATGCTTTCTGTGTTCAGGTTTGAATGTAGTAATAATAATGCAAAAACCTACACTTCAAATCAACAATTAAAATAACAAAAAATATAAACCTTGACAAAAAGTAGTCTTTGAGAATGACTTAATATACATTTAAATCCACAACATAATAAAAGTAAACAATTATGTATAAAAACAACTAGGGATTTCACAAGCCTCTCTATAGAGTCCTATACAGGAATCTTGTGGTTACATCATGAAATGCTCTCACCAGGAGGTGCTATTCTGCCTTCAAAAATTGGATTTTAAAGGCCTAGTCTCTATTTCTAATCTGATATACTGCATTAATTGAAAAATTGTTAAAAAATTATTATTATTATTTTTTTTACTATTTTCAATGGGAAGAACTGATCATAATTATTGCATAAATATTAATTAGCACCAAAAAATTATCTCAAAATACAAAAATAATAATAATAATATTAATATTGAACAAAAATATATTAGATTGATTTTACTGAAGAGAGAAAAAAAGTTACATTTCTGGTGTCCGGTCAATTTTGCCCGCAGAGACCATGAGTGTGACTCCCAAATGAGGAGCACACAAGGGTTAATAAAACATGCCTAAACCAGCAAATCATGCTCTTCAGCTTTAGAGCAGGTTGAAACTACACTTAGCAGGTGGGTCTGCAGGACCAGGGTTAAAGACCTATGCACTAGAATTACGGTATACTCAATTATTTCAGACCCTGCAATAAATCATGGCAACAGGATATGGTATTCTTTTTTTTTCAAGAAATAAAAAATACAATATAGGGTACAACAGGGCTAAACATGCGCACTTGACTTTATTATCCTTTAAACCTCTGGAATACACAAAAAATACATCAGCACTGTCCTTAACAACCGCTTTGACTATGCATGTGGAAATTTGTTAGATTCTTCACGCGATCGTTTCAAGAAAATTCTACACTACTTTGATCTATTATTTAGTTATTAATATTGTAGATTTATGTAGCAATTTAATGTAGCAAATAAAATTACTGGCTATATATTGAGACAAATGTCTTATTAACCTGGCAAAAAAATGCCTACTGTATTCAAGATGAAGACTTCTCATGGGATCTTTTCCCTAGATCCCTTGAACTGGCAGCCATATGAATGAATGAATGATGCATTTATGAATGATGCATTTATATAGTACTTTATTGTGTATTGCTGTACACCCAAAGCACTTTACAATCAAGTGGGGGGGGGGTCTCTTCTCAACCACCACCAATCATATCTGAACATATCTGGCTGCAGCCCAGTCTAAGCGGGAAACATCTGTCATGGTATCACTGAAGATACACATCTAGAGTGGGACCTAAGTTGAGAACCGGGGTCTGACCCACATCGGAAATAGGGTACCATATGGGCAATCACATGATGGGAGCTCCGTGAAGCAGCATGTAATGAGCACAGAGGCAGTCATCTGGGAGGCCAGCTAGGAAAGGCCTAATCTACCTGATATTGTTGCCTCATGGAGCCCCAGGGAGTTCTTCAGAG